TCAGTATTAGTTTTAATACGAGCTTTATTTAATAATTCTTTTATTTTCCCTGAAGTATTTCTTAATGTTAATGCAAATTCATTTTTTGTATGTTTACAAAATTCATAAATTTGTTTTAAATATTCTTCAACACAAATAATAAGTATACGTTTGATTTCTTCATCTGAAAAACATTTCCTATGGCAAACTAAATTAAGCGAAGCTAATAAACGTTTAACATCCCATGTAAATGTACCGACATAATCTTCGTCAAAGTCGTTAACGTCAAAATTCAGAATACCATGATTATCCATATATGTTCCAAAATTTTCTGCATGTAAATCACCCTAAAAGAAATAAAAGAAAAACAAGATTTTATTTTAATTGTTCGATATTAACTATTTACGTGAGTAAAAATTTGCCCAGCTGCAGTATTTCTTGCAATAAATGGATCTTGATCAGAGATGAGCAAGTCAGCGATTTTTTTGACTTAAGTCAAGTCAAGTCGTTTGACACAAGTCTCAAGTCAGGTTAGGTACAGTCATAAGTCATCAAAAAATTTTCTCTGACAAGTCAAAGTCAAGTCATCAATGTGCAGTACACAAGTTCAAGGGCAGTCATTCAAGTCTTGCTCTAATCAAGTCAAGTCAAGTATCAAGTCATAAGTCATTGACTTGAATTTTTAAGTCTCACAATTTAATCATGTATCAATTTATTGAACAAAAAATTTACACTAATCCCTGATTACATTTTAACATTGTTAACATTTGTAATGTCTTTCTTGACATCTTGGCTCGATGTTGTCGAAATATAAAGCCACTTTGGGAGAAAATTCTTTCCACAGCTGCTGACGTTGCAGGAATTGTCAAAACCTTTCTTGCCATTAAATCACTCATATTCAATTACACAAATTATAATCCTTTTAGCTAGTTTAACATAATAGCTCATGTATGAATTACATTCACTCTTACAATTACTTATATACCTGCTGACGGCGCTGGCGCTGCTACATATTTTCTTTTTGGACGACCAACAAGACCAGACTAGACGATTAAAAAAATGGATTAAGAAATGTCATTGAGGTTTCTACTCTACGTAGAAGCCTCAATAGCATTTAATTTATTTTTAATTCGTCTAGTCCGTTTGGGGCCTTATTTTATACGTACAATTCATAGATAACCTGACCTGACGAGAAAATGAACTTTTCTATACGGCAGCTATGAGAAATAAAACAGAATTCTTATAT